AAGACATCTGTCAAATCATCTTCTTCCTAGGTTTTACCTGGGTTTCTTGCAACTTTTTTCTTTAAGGCTACAGTAAATCCATATTATTAGGGACGTGGGTGGTGCTGTGGGTTAAACCACAGAGCCTAGGACTTGCCGATTAGAAGTTCGGCGGTTCGAATCCACGCGATGGGGTGAGCTCCCGTTGCTCGGTCCCTGCTCCTACCAACCTAGCAGTTCAAAAGCATGTCAAAGTGCAAGTAGATAAATAGGTACCGCTCCGGCAGGAAGGTAAACGGCGTTTCCGTGCGCTGCTCTGGTTCGCCAGAAGCGGCTTAGTCATGTTGGCCACATGACCCAGAAGCTGTACGCTGGCTCCCTCGGCCAATAAAGCGAGATGAGCGCTGCAACCCCAGAGTCGGCCACGACTGCACCTAATGGTCAGGGGTCCCTTTACCCTTTACCTTAAATCCATATTCTTTTTAAAGAACAGAACAGTAGTTCAGTCTCCCCAATTGTAGATTGCCGTAGCGTTTCTCTTCCATCTTTTTAAAAAAGGCATGGTTTACAGGTATGCAAAGATGTTTTGGATCGGTTGGCCTATTGCCACGCATATACAGTTTGGCACAACCTCACTACTGCCTTTCTTGACAATAACATTTTAAAAAACTGTCTTTTAATTGCCCCTTTTGCCTATTTTTTAAAAAATTAAAATATTTATGCAGTAGTACTTAAATGAAACAGTGCTTCACGCAAATTTTTTAATTGATTTTAAAATGCTACATTTCCAGTCTTTCCAAACACCTCCATTTTTCAGATAACCCCATCCCCAACATTCTGCTTTTTAAAAAAGTAATTGCAGAATGTCACTGACTTTTTTAGTCTTTTAGTGTGACTTTTATAAAATGATTTTAATGGTAGTATTAATTTGAGAATTGCATACTCAGCAATCCCCATTTGTATGAAAGCTGGTAAGACTGCTTGATAAAATTGCTCTCTCTGTGAGTTGCTGTTACTGAAGGCATGTTTCTGTTGTTGTTCTTTGTAATGCTTTGAAAAAACATAACAAAACATTAAATAACAGCCACAGACTTGGGGGAGGGGGCGGGTTAGAAAAGTCACAAGGAAATCCACTGAATATTTTGGGATGAATTAAAAATGAATGGGAAAGTGCATAAATACCACAAAGGCAAATCAGGATGAATACACTTTGTTGTAGAACTGCCCTGTAAACAAACCAGAACAAATGCTGAATAAGGACTGGACCTAGTCTAACCACTGCATAAGATCTGTGCAAGAAAATCAGGATAAACATGGAATAAACAGGTCATCTGCAGGCACCCTTGGATTTTGCACCTTGAGCATCAAAAGGTCTTGTTGCTGCCCTGTCGAAGAGTCCTAGGGATGGAGCAGAGGAGATTTGGGAGGGTCAAGGACAGATTAGAAAGGAGAGGCAAGCCTCAAGTGAGAGTTTAGAGAAGCATGTCATGAACTAAAATGACCTGTTTATTCAGCATTCATCCTGATATTTTGCACAAAGTTTGTGGGGAGCTTAGATGGTGCTGACTATTAACTGAGTGTCCAGTCTTATTTGTTTGTGTTGTGTATACGACATGGTGTCAAGCAATTGTGATCCCACACGCTTTCCAGTTCATCACTCTCCTCATCACAAAGAGCCAGCAGCTTTAATTCTGTGGTCCAAAAAATTGTTGGTATGTGATTGAATCCCACCTAAAAACAGCAAGAAACCTGAAGGGGCCTGAGGCAGAGCTTGGACCGAGATATTTTCCTGTCTGATGCTCATAACAATAATAATAATAATAATAATTTATTATTTGTACCCTGCCCATCTGGCTGGGTTTCCCCAGCCACTCTGGGCGGCTTCCACAAAAACCAAAAATACACTAAGATAACACACATTAAAAACTTCCCTGAAGATGTCTTCTGAATGTCAGGTAGTTGTTTATCTCAAGATGGCATCCCCCTTCCATTCCAGAAGTTGACCAAACTCCAACACTGGCGACGGGCTGGCACACTTCACGACAGCAGGCAAGCCATGTGGCAAACACAAAAACTCATGCCACCGTACCCCATCCTCTGCTGGCTGAGGCAGCCACCTCCCTCTGCCTAATGGTAGTGCCAACCCTCCATGAAGCGTGTGGGCTTGCCAGACATGGAACACAATCCGCTGGGAACCTCTGCCCCATCAAAATGAATGGGAAAGCACAAGAGGGCGGACAGAGGCTAAAGATAGGAAAGCAGTAGAAGACAAGAAGGAACTGTAAACACTTGACCAGCTGGGCTAGGTCCCTTCTCCCTACTCAAACAGACATTTGGCAGACGCAGCTTCCCCAGGGCGCCAATTTGAAAGACCAAAGTCTGCCAGTGAATTTAGAACCAACAGCCTGGAGATGAAGAGCCATCAGAGACCATTTTATGTGGGCTTGATGGTATCTGAAGTGGGCAGACTCCAATTTCCAGAAGGTTGAGACCCACGACCTCCAAGGTCAACAACTTCTGGCTGCATTATAGTCAGAGCTACGAAAGCTGGATTGCCAGGCAATTTCTCAGGGCCTCACCAAGGCCTGTTTCTCAACTGTGAGCAGCCTGTTTTCATCCAAGCTGGTCATATTATGTACCTTGTAACGTAAAGGATGTGGTTTCTGTTTGCTTGTTTTCCTCTACCCTCCCCATTCCTTTTGTCTTTTGTGCCCTAACCTTCTAGACTGTAAGCCTGAGGGAAGAGATGGTGTTGTTTTTATTTATCTCTGCAAGCGAAGAATTGTGGGGGGGGGAATATTTAAATAAAATAAAAATGATAGTAAGGCTGGCCTTCTGTATATTTAGTAGTTGTGGAAAAGAGGGCCTCCCAGCAGAGGAATTTCAGCAGATGTAGCTTGCATGAGCAGCTGTCAGATCCCTTCCTGGCCTGGCTCCAGGGATGGCAAGCTACACCTGCTGAAACTCCCCCTTGGACACAACGATTAAAGGCCCAGGAGCCCCATCCTTCTTGAAGCTGGGCGTCTTCTGTGTGCAAGACCACAATGGGTTCAGCACCGGATTACCAAATACATAGGCAGATTAGGCAGTAGCCTTTTAGGGGCCCCGCGACAACGGATCAAAATAATATGGATTTGATCTTGAAATGAAATTACAATCAAGCTGTTTTTGTGGGAGGGGGTGTGTGCTTTTAGTTTGTTTGTTTGTTTTATTATGTATTTTGCATTCTCATTTTGTGTTTTCCTGTTGTGAACAGCCCTGGGCTCTTCCGATGAAGAGTCGTAGACACATTGAACAAAACAACAAGGGGGCTTCATTGGGAGAATTTCCTGCCTCGTGAGAAGGCCTTTTTTCTTTCGTGCCCTAACCTTCTAGACTGTAATCCTGAGGGAAAAGATGGTGTTGTTTTTATTTATCTCTGCGAGCGAAGAATTGGGGGGGGGATGTTTAAATAAAATAAAAATGATAGTATTTGGACTTTCAAAAAGAGCTATTTGGACTTTCCACCTCGGGGCCCCCAAACACCTTAAGCTGGGCCAGGTTTGCGTCTGCAGACACTTGAGTAACTTTTTTTTTTTACTACAGTACTTCGCTTTGTCCACTCTTAAGAGAAACCTGCGTTTCACGTACTGGGCTCGGTACGTGATCGAAGGGCGCCCTCTAGTGTCCTTCTGGGGCAACGACAGCATCACACACACACCCCAAGCCCCACACACGTTTTCTTAATAAATCATCCAGGCAGCTCCAAACATAAGCCGGCCCTAGCGCCGCCGGTTCTCGGATGCCGTCTTGAACTTTGCAAAGTTTGACCCCGGTTCGCTGCAGACGGCGGACTCGTCTCCTCCCTGAGCGCGACAGATCCGGAAGAGGCAGTGGGGGAAGGCTAGTCGGGGCTCCTGCCTCCTGCATCGGAAGCCTGTAAGAGCCGTGGGGGGTTGGGGCTGGTGGGAGGGAGTGCAAGCGCGAGAAAGGTGTTTTATCAAGGGATATCATATATAGAATATAACTCTGCAGGCCCTGGGCAAAGCAGAAGGGGGAACAGCTGCAAGCGTAATAGTAAACGGACCAGCATGGTGAATCGGCTCGATTGTAGCAGAAGGTAGCGGAGGAGGAGCGAGCGAGCCGTTTCAAAAAGGGATATATTGCGAAGGGCCTGCGAGAGTTAGGAAAAAGTGCAATAGTCACCGCCAAGCCCTGGGTGCTGCAGGGGTTGGGGGAGGTAGGGCGATCTTTGTAAAGTATCCTTGAGCAGGGATCCCCCCCCCGCAAGGCCTGCTAGGATAGACGTGGGTGAGTCGGTGGGTGCATAATAATAATAATAAATTTTATTATTTGCACCCCATTGCCCCAGCCACTCTGGGAGGCTTCCAACATAGATAGAAGCATAATAAAACATTAAAAACTGCACCGTGGCACATGCCCTCTTATTGTGCATGCCATGAGAAAGTTACAGGGTGCAAGGTTCTCTGCCATGCATAGCACGCACTGGAGAGGGAGCTGGGCTTTAAATATTGCACACACAGACAGACAAAAAAAAGGCCTGTGAAAGCAAAGGGGTTGGGGGAGGTAGAACATTAGGAAGCAGGGGCGGCCAGGGCTTTTTTTCAGCCGGAACTCGCTGGAACTGAGTTCCGGTGCATTTCAGGTGGGTGGCTTGCCATTACAGTATAAGAGAACAAGAGAGGCATTTGTGGTGAGTTCCAGCACCTCTTTTCATACAGGTGTTTGTAGGAGTGGCATATAAGCATTTAAAGGAGCTTGCTGTCCCTGTTTGTGATGGCTATCTTTGCATACCTTGAGCTGATAAGGCTACGATCCTAACCGCGCTTGCTGGGGAGTAGGTCGCACTGAATTCAACAGGGCTTTGTTTTGAGTAGGCATGCTTAGCACTGCATTGCACACTTTCAAATAAAGTGGAAGAGACTTTCCCGCCAGGTCAGAAAGCAGAGAGAATCTCATACAACACTTAGCAGGAGTGGAAGCTACGATCTCCAGCTGTTGTCTTGTGGTCTTGCCTGTAGATAGAATGGCTGACCCTTGTCCCTGTGGACCTTCCTCCTGCGACTGCTTCGTCTCTCTTCCCCCGGCCTCTGCAGCCAGAGAGGTCATATTTGGCAAGAATTCTGACCGGCCGAGGGATGAAGTCCAAGAGGTAGTCTATTTCCCAGCCAGAAGCCATGCCAAGGGGGCAAAGGTCCAGGTGAGCTAAAATCCAGCAGGCAGTACAGGAGCATGGAGCTGCATTTGTGGGAGAGGGCTATGCTCTAGAAAGTAATGAGAAGTCACATCTCCAACGTATCTTCTGCTGCGGTCCATCCTAAATCAGGGCACACAAACCACCCCCTAATTACTGGCATATACATTCTCCATGAACAGAACACTTTCCAAACAGTGACCAGGTTTGCAGGTAGCGCTAAGCCAAACTATGCTTTATCAAACTCTGGTTTAGCACACTGGTCCTCAAACTTTTTTCTCTGGGCCACCCTTTCACAATAAATATTTTGCTCATGCCACACCAAAATTTCGTTGATAATTAGAAAAGGAAAAGATCACAACTAGAATTGTCATCAGTATGACCTGGTGCTTTTTGTTCTCATTTTGAAAATATATCCATATTTTGCAAATAAAAACAATTGCTTTATACTACACTGAAATGTTTAAATGCTCGATTGTCCTTGAATCTTCCTGTCACGCTTGTCATTATCTCCTGGCACATCAGTGTGGCTTGCCATACTTGTTGAGAACTGCCAGTTTAGCATGAACATATGGAGTCCATGGTGACTTTGCTTCTACTGCTTTGCTGTGCGGTAGCCTATGGTTTGGCCTAACATGCCGTCTGAACCTGGGCTCATGGTTTGTCTGGAGCAAGACAAACCATGAACTGCAGCCAAGGCTTGTTCTTGTTTGCATCCCATGGTCTGTGCAGGAGACAAACCATAAGCTCAGGTTTGGGCAGCGTGCTAAGCCAAACCATGGATTAGCTCCCTGCAAGACAGCAGGACCAGAGAAGGAGCAAAGCAGCCGTGATCTTCCCTCGAGTAGCCTGCACACTCGGCATTATGTGTGAATTGAGCCACTATCAGGAAAGAGGAGGCAGAATCTGTCCTTAATGCACTGCCAGACCTGCCGTTCTGGAGTCCTGTGTTCCATTCTGGGTCCTAACATTTTGAGAAAGACGTTGGGAAATTGGAGTATGTATAGAGGATGGCAAGTGATGTTCACATTAGCACCTTGGAGCAAAGCGAAGTTGTGTGTGTGTGCCGCCCCACCAAGATTTAAAAGCTCTTTTCCCCATAGCTGTTCACATCAGCACAGCTTCATTAGTGTCAGATTCATTTCAGTAGGGTGCTGATAGAGAGGGGATATCTTTACCCTATGCAAAGATGAATTAGGAATGGCTTGAGAAACAACGCATTGAACAGGGAAGCGTATCACTCTGTTTGTGAGCAAAAAAACCAAAAACAATGAAAGTGCCAGCGCGGACTTTCGTTTCAAAGGCTGCCTTTCTTCCCAGTGCACATATATTGAAGTGGACCAGGTTGAGAAGACCCATGCGGTCATTCTCAGCCGACCAGCCTGGCTCTGGGGAGCCGAGATGGGGGCCAACGAGCACGGGGTCTGCATTGGCAATGAAGGGGTGTGGACCAAGGAGCCCGTGGCAGAGGAGGAAGCCTTGCTGGGCATGGATCTGGTCAGGTAAGAGACGACATGTTGGGTGGCTGTGAATCATCAGCTTGTGCCCAAGTTGTATTCTCTGCTCCTCTGTAATCGCATGGCCCGCCATGGCCGTAGCCAGGATTTTTGTTAGGGGGCAAGCTTTCATTAGGAGGTCAGAACTTCAGATTTGTATTGATTTTTATTGATTGGGGGGCATCTGCCCCCCTTACCCACCCCCTGGCTACGCTCATGCTGCTGGCCCACATGGAGGCTGAGATACTGTCATTGCATCTGGACAAAGATGGTCTGGCCTCAGTTCTTGCATCTGTATAATGGGAATGACAGTGAAACCCTCTCAACAATTGTTCTGAGAATTGGTGAGCTAAGAAGAGTTACAGCACTACAGTTGTTCATAATAGTGCCTTGTGAACTCTATGGTTCACCTCCTTCAGCCCTCCATTGATCCAGCAAAACACCATCCCTGGTAGGTTTGAAAACCGCCAGCGAAGGAGAGTCCACATTCCAAGGCAGTCTGTTACACGATTAAACAGCCAGAATCATCGGGAAGTTCTCCCTAATGTTTAATCAGAAAGCTTTTTCTTGCGATTTAAGCCATTGGTTCAGGGTCTGTCTTGTCGAACTGCAGAAAACAAATTGCTTCATCATCTATATGACAGCCCATCAAATATTTGAAGGTGGCTATCATGTGTTCTTTCCCCCCAGACTAAATAAGAATCGCAGATATTGGGAACTTGTTTATTTCTGAAGCTTTTTTAGTCCTGTTGAGTTACTGCAAAATTCCCGACTGGTTGAATGAAAGAGTGTCAAACACTGTCTGACTTTTTAATGGCGATCAGTCACGGTTTGCAAATGATCTTACTTAAAAATCCTTGGTTCGCCTAAAAGCCTCTTTAAAAAAAAATCCATGTTGAGAAAATATATTGCTTTTTAAAGAATACTGTAATAAGTTTGGTGCATCAATTAGGGCAGATGTGTTTAATCTGAGGGCTTTGAGCTGTTGCTGGACTACAACTCCCATCATCCCTGACCAGGGACTATGTTGGCTGGGGCTCATGGGAAGTGGAGTCAACAACGACTAGAGAGCCACTGGTCATCCATCCCTTAATAAAATATTTCACAGCCAGGTTTGCAGAGGCAGTAATGGCTAAATAATGTATTTCAGGCTTGGTTTGGAGCGGAGCAGCAGTGCCCAGGAAGCAGTCCAGGTTATAACAGCCCTCCTGGAACGTTATGGCCAAGGGGGCAGTTGCAAGGAGGAGCCGACCCCCTTCATTTACCACAACACCTTCCTCCTTGCGGATCGCACTGAAGCCTGGGTTGTAGAAACAGCCGGGCGGTTTTGGGCGGCTCAGAGGATTCGAGGTGAGTGCATTGCAGAAAGAGATGATAGGACACCTTGGATCTTAACAGATACACAGAAATATCTGGCGTTGCTCTTTTGCGAACGGTCTGGGCTTTTGTTTGCTTGGTTTGCCTGGTTCAGATTTTGCACTAAGAAAAGTTCAGTTCAGAACCCTGCATGTGGTTTGAAGGGGCGTCTCCACCCCCATCGTTCAGCCTGGACACGGAGGTCCAGCTCCGAGGGCCTTCTGGCGGTTCCCTCACTGCGAGAAAAGTGAAGTTACAGGGAACCAGGTAGAGGGCCTTCTCGGTAGTGGCACCCGCTCTGTGGAACACCCTCCCATCCGATGTCAAGGAAATAAACAACTATCTGACTTTTAGAAGACATCTGAAGGCAGCCTTGTTTAGGGAAGTTTTTAATGTTTGATGTTTTATCGTGTTTTTAATATTCTGTTGGGAGCTGCCCAGAGTGGCTGGGGAAACCCAGCCAGATGGGCGGGGTATAAATAATACATTATTATTATTATTATTATTATTATTATTATTATAAACGTTAGACTAGGACCTTGGATCTCCGAGGAAAAGGAAATATATAAATGTAATAAATAAATAAAAACCTCGGGCTGTTGAGATGTATTATGGAATTGTATTCCAGATCGGCTAAGCCCTTTTCAAACTTCCTGCTGGTTGAGTAGGATCTCCTTGTCTCTCCTCCCACCCTGCAGAAGGTGCCCGGAACATTTCCAACCAGCTGAGCATTGGTACCGACATTACCTCTGAGCATGCGGGCCTCAGGCAACATGCCCGGGAGCAGGGATGGTGGAGTGGCCAAGGGGCGTTCAGCTTCCTGGAGGTGTTTTCTCTCACCCACCAGCCTGTGCGCATGGAGGCGGCCAAAGCTCGCTATTGTGCTGGCCAGCAGCTGCTGCACCAACATTCAGGTGTGTATCCAAAATAGGTAGAGGTGTAGGGTTTTGGAAGCTTGTTTTTTGTTTTGTTTTGTTTTGGTTTGAAATGATTTTTATTTGATTTTACAAATGCAAAGTTATATAAAAGAATCCAAATACAGTGGTACCTCGGGTTACAGACGCTTCAGGTTACAGACTCCCTAACCCAGAAATCGTACCTCAGGTTAAGAACTTTGCTTCAGGATGAGAACAGAAATTGTGCAGCAACGGGAGGCTCCATTAGCTAAAGTGGTACCTCAGGTTAAGAACAGATTCAGGTTAAGAACGGACCTCCAGAACGAATTAAGTTCTTAACCCGAGGTACCACTGTATACATCCATATACAGAGTTTCCTCTGAATCTCGGAACTCCCACCCCCTCCATGGGGACCCATTTTAAACATTTAATACTACATATTCTCAAACCTTAGGCCCTCCAGATGTTTTTGGCCTACAACTCCCATGATCCCTAGCTAACAGGACTAGTGGTCAGGGATGATGGGAACTGTAGTCCAAAATGTCTGGAGGGCCGAAGGTTGGGGATGCCTGTTTTATATCAATCCATGGTAATTGTTACGCTACAAGTGAAATTGAAATCATGCTAATGTTTCCATCTGCTTACAGTGGTCTCCTAAATAACTTAATTTTTTCCCGTTCTTTTATAAAGTTTTTGTCCTCTTGGTTTCTGGGTTTTCCAGTCAGTTTTGCCATCTTGGCATAGTCCATCAGCTTGGTATGCCACTCCTCTCTGGTAGGGACTTTGTCTTCTTTCCATTTCTGGGCCAATAACATCTGAGCGGTTGTTGTTCCATACATGAAGAGTCTTTTCTGCTCCTTTGGTATATCGGTACCTGTAATTCCTAATAAAAAGGCTTCTGGTTTCTTAACAAAGGTTATTTTAAGCATTTTTTTTTCATTCCATTACTTCTCATCTCCCAGAAAGCTATTATTATTATTATTATTATTATTGGCTTTGTTTTGTGGAGGGAAGTGTGTCCCATAGAGCCGCTTAATGTTGGTTCAGATAGTCAAAAGCTCAGCCCAGCTGGTCATGTGACCCCACTGGGGTGGCAGCTGGAAATGCCAACATCCTCCTGGTTGCCTGGCAAGCATCACTCAAGGAGACCTAGAGAACTTTACATTATGGGACTGCAAACCAAATGCTATGTAACAGATCTATTTAAAGATGTAGTTTTAGATGTAGGCCGGAAGATCTACGCGCTAGTAATGGGTAGATCTCTCTCTAATGCTGACACTGGATTGCGAGATTGGTTACCTTGAGACGCCTGGCTCTTGCATTTGGTGCTGTGGTTAGGCGTTGCATTTGGGCGTAGGGGAACCCATCTATCATCTGAAGCAGAGAGAGTGCTTATGAGCACATGCAGAACGCTTCCCTTTGCCCTTAACACTCAGGAACCTCACCTAGTCCTTCTGCATGTCGGCTTGGGTGGGGCAGAAATTAGTCAAGAGGAAGTGACTCTTACATAAGTAATAAGGCCCGGCCCAGGACATTTTGGCGCCCGATTCAGAAAATCCAAATGGGTGACCATTTTCCAATAGGGCTCGCGTGGGAGACTTTCCCAGTGGATTGTGCCCAGTTGGTCCGCCTGCCTCCCACTTCGCCTCTCTTGACTGTTCCCCAAATCTGTCCCTTTGCCTTGGCTCCATAGTAGAGCAAGCCTCCGTCAGGTATTTGTGAATTCTGACACCTTGACTAGTTTGCCCTCTTCTTCTGGTATCGGTACAGTTTCCCATCTTCCTCTTTACTGATGTGTAGGGCAGATCACCGCAGAGACCATTATGACCATCTTGAGTGACAAGGCCAGCGGGATCTGCGTCGATTCGGAAGGTTTCTGCACCACGGGAAGCATGGTGTCCGTCCTGCCGCAGGATCCCCACCTCCCTTGCATCCACTTCTTCACGGCCACGCCAGACCCTTCCAGGTAAGCCGAAAGCTCCTGCTTCGTTAAAATGGGTGAGTGCACCTGCCAAGTTGAGAGGAGCCCTGCTGGCCAACCAGAACAGCTATTGGAAGTGCGTTTGTTATTTCAGGTGAGTTCCTTATTCCCCAGTAATTTATTGGAATGGGAAAGAGTTTTATGTGAACAAAATAAATGCGCCTTTTACAGTTACTGAAGACCAGTCTCCAACCAATACATAATCTATGGAACGGGATAAGCATGACATAATCTGAAATTATCTTTCTTGTAAAACATTGTTTTCTCTCACCAGCCTTGAGATACCTATAATGATATGGTTGTGTGAAAGTTCATCCTGTCAGTATTTTATGCTACATTTAATAAGTTCCCTTTTCTGCAGGACTTTCCGAAATATGTTTTTTTCCCCAGAAAGCTGTTTTTTTGCCCCCTAACAAAGGTATAGGACAGGTGATACTGAAATTAAACGATGAATAAAACGAGTACAGTGGTACCTTGGGGGTTAAGTACTTAATTCCTTCCGGAGGTCTGTTCTTAACCTGAAACTGTTCTTAACCTGAAGCACCACTTTAGCTAATGGGGCCTCCTCCTGCTGCCGCCGCGCCACTGGAGCACCATTTCTGTTCTCATCCTGAAGCAAAGTTCTTAACCCGAGGTACTATTTCTGGGTTAGCGGAGTCTGTAACCTGAAGCGTATGTAACCTGAGGTACCACCGTACAATTGTACCTTGGCTCCCGAATGCCTTGGAAGTTGAACATTCTGGCTCCCAAACGATTGAAAACCGGAAGTGTTTTCCAGTTATCGAACATTCTTTCGGAAGCCGAACATCCAATGGGGCTTCCATGGCTTCCGATTGGCTGCAGGAGTTTCCTGCAGCCATTCAGAAGCCGTGCTTTGGAAGTCGAATGTTTCGGAAGTCGAACGGACTTCCGGAACAGATTCTGTCCGACTTCCGCGGTACGACTGTATTCAAAATCTTTACATCTCAAATTAAGTAAAATGGCAGTAAATCAGTGCGGACTCTTCTCAGGACATGAGTGCGATAACCCTCTCCATCAGGTGCTCCCCAGCAACTGTGAATCAGCAACCATGCTGCCTCTAAAACTTTGGAGGTTTGCATGCAGCCATCCTGGCTAGTAGCCACTGGCAGCCTAATCCTGCATGACATTGTCTAACCGTATTTTAAAACTTGTCCAAGTTGGTGGTCACCGCTTTGAGCTTCAGAAAAGCAGCACATTGCATTTTTGTTTTTAGTTTAATATATAAATCATGTTGTCATGTTCATATGTTCCCTCTGTGTTTTAGGGGAACCGTTTAAGAGTGTCGGGTACATTGTCCAAATCCTCTCCTCTCTCCTGCTCGGCAGGTCGATCTTCAAACCCTTCATCTTCGTTCCCAACGTCACTTTCTTTCACCAAGTGCAATCGCCGACCTTTGGCGACAAAGACCCCGTCAGGGAGACGCCCAGGTTTCAGAGACAGGTGGACCGACGGCACAATCTCTACAGGGAACACCAGTTAGTCCTGGACACCATGGACCGCAATGAGGTGAAGCCCTGAAGAACCACTTGCAGTTACTGTAGATCAGGGCTGGGGGACTTGTACCGCCTCCGGATGCTGTCGGACTACAACTCCACTAATCTCTGGCCCTTTCCCCCATGTTCTCATTCTGAACTCTTTCCTCTAGCCCAGCTCCTTGTCACCTGATATTTCCCAAACTGACTTGGTTCCACTTTCCATGTTCTCTGAACTCTGCTCGTTGGCTTCTTTATTTCTAGCTCTCTCTTTCCGTCCACCTTTCTGTCTCCAATCACTTCCTTTCTCATTGTTTTTATTAAAGATTTTTGGGCTACAAAAGTACATAAGTCGTACCTTGGATCCCAAACGCCTTGGTACTCGGACGTTTTGGCTCCCAAACGCCACAAACCCAGAAGTGACTGTTCCAGTTTGCGAACGTTCTTTGGAACCTGAATGTCTGACGGGGCTTCCGTGGCTTCCGATTGGCTGCAGGAGCTTCCTGCAGGCCAGTCGGAAGCCACTCTTTGGATTCTGAATGCTTTGGAAGTCGAATGGACTTCTGGAACGGATTCCGTTCGACTTCCGAGGTACGACTGTACATCATCTCCATTTTCAGAGCATAAAGTCCTTTCTACAGAACGCCTCTAATCACTTTCCACCGGCTATTCTCCATTTCTTGTTGCTCTTTGTCTTCCCTTCTCTTTACCACCCAGGTAGGGTTTAAACAGCCCTGACTTGGGATGTGGTCCCACCCAATTGTAGCCCTAAATGCATTACCCCAGCTTTTCATGAAACCTTGTGGGTGAGCGAATTGGCTTCCAAGTCCGCCTTCCCACCCCCCCAGATGACATCAACCATGGGTATTGAGGGGCGGCATCTGCCATGCCAGGGATGGGTGACAAATGAGTTATGGCAACACCCTAAAGTCCCCATAATTAATGCCCCGTTCTTTCTCTCCCCCCTCCCCAGCATGAGCGCCAGAGACTCCAAGAGATTATGCGGAAATTTCAGCGGCAAGCCCTGGAGGCCATGAAGAACCTGCTGGCGGGCTCCTTCACTCTGAAACCCCAGGAGCTGGCTGACCTCTTCTATGACTGTGTGGTCACAGAAATCAAGTTATATAAACAGTAAGATCCCTATCAGGGCAGAGAGATTGAGGTTCATTCCTGAGACCACTGAGAGTTCCATGTGTGAAACAAAACCCTACTTGAATGATATGATATGACAATGCTGCACCTTTAAAAAAACAAAACCTTAAAATTGTGGAGTTGGCATAGGCAGCCTTCAGAATTCATTGTTGCTGCAAGAGTGAAGACCACGGGCATAGTTGTGGCTTTGAAAAGTTCGTGAAGGCTGGTGGTTCTGAAATGTGGAGCAGCCTCTGCGTCTTAAGGGCTACAGAAAACAAGGGAAGTGGGTAGCACTTTAGTGCACTTCTGGAACCTCCAACTGGCTACTGTCAGAAGCAATGAAGTAGAGCGAGATAAGACATCTGGAATTGTTTGGCCTGAGCTGTTGGGGATGCACTAGATAGATCTCAGTCTGCAAGATAGATGGGTCTCCATTTAGTTTTGTCACTGCGTTTTTGGTCTGGAGGGACCGAGACAAATAATCTGGGAGAAGGGCTGTTTTTTTTCCTTCTAAAAACAGAGAAACGGTCCTCCAAATTTTAACATCTGTCTGAGATATCCCAAACATTTTTTTTCTTAAAACGACCCGAGATTCCAGCAAATGCTACCGGTGTATTATTGTAGACACAGCACTACAGAATAACCTGTGAGATGTATATTCCTCTTTTCTATTACGGATGCTGCAATCCTGATATTTCCCCCCCCCAAGCTCTGTATCCTCAGCCTTACCACTGTTCTCAGTTGCTGAGATGATTTGGGATGGAGCTGCCTTCTAAACAAATATCCCGTCCCAAACCTTTCAGAGGTTTGATGGTGCAAATCTATGATTAATCTGAACCTGCACATAGCACAAATACTCTGGGGAGATGACGCAAATTGCCTTTAAAAGGCAAATGCAAGCTTTCAGACCTGCATCGTTATTTTGTTTCCTCGCCAAGTTTTAGGCAGCTCCAAACTCCTAACAAGGAATTCTGAGCGGCCTAATCAGTGGCGTAGCGTGGGGGGTGCCAAGAGTGCCGGCCGCACCGGGCGCAACATCTGGGAGGGCGCGAGTCCAGAGGGAAGGGACAAGTTCCTTCCTCCGCTGGGCTCCCCACTGCCACCTGCGCCCCAGCGCGGCGCGCCCCCCGCCGCTGCGGCTGCGCTCCACTCACTGCTCGCAGGAGGAGCAGCCGCTGCTGCAGCGCCGACGCCGCCACCGACGCCTGGCCGGGCACGGGCAGCCTCCGCACCCCCATCCCCTCGGCCCAGCCCCAGGCGGCGGCTGCTTCTGCCGACTGGGAGGGAGGAGAGCTCCGAGGGGCCTTGCCGCGCCCTGCGCTCCCCAAAAACCTCCGAGAGGAAGCCGGTGGGCAGGCGAGGCCCGGCTAAGCCTCTCGCCAGCGGGTTAAGGGGCTTTCGGTTTTAAAAGGATTAGCTTGGGAAGGAGCGGGGGGGGGCTGCTCGCCGGCAAGCGCCTGCTCCGCGTTTCCAAAGGCGCTCACCATCCGAGGGACAGGGAGCGCTTGCAAGGAACGGGCTCCGTGGAGCAGGAGTTAGGAAGAGATCCCTTCCCTGGCAGGCCGCCGGCTTCGCCAGCTGTTTCCCATTCACGATCAGGAGGAACTTCAGGCTGCTTTCAGCTTTGGTAGAGGGAATCTAAGCAAGGGGATGGAGCCGGTGCCCTGAGGAAAGGCGGCAGCATTGGGTTTGTTTTTAGTTTAGAGAAAAGGCAAGCAAGAGGCGACAGGAGAGAAGCCTGCAAAACTAGGCATGGCAAGGAGAGAGTGGACAGTGAGGAAAGTTTTTATCCCTCTCTCCGTACAATATAACTCGTGGGCATCCAGTGAAGCTGAACGTTGGAACAGTGGCGTAGCGTGGGGGGTGCCAAGGGTGCCGGCCGCACCAGGCGCAACATGGGGGGGCGCGCTCGCACTCGGGTGCTAAAATTCACAGGTTAGGGGGCGCAAATTACTTTCCTTGCCCCGGGTGCTGACAACCCACGCTACGCCACTGGGCCTCATAACTCTATACTTCCCAGGAATAGTTTTCACAGGTAAGCCGGTTTTCATCAAGTAGGTCAGAATTTCAACAGGCAGAAAAAAGCCTTCCTGCATGTCCTTAGGAAGGAGCAAACCCCATTGGCCTGAGTAACCCTGCAACTGGCTTCGCCGCTTGCACCCTTCACTTAGAGGAAGTACTGCCTAAAGGTTTCAGCAGAGGGCCTTTGTCAGTTTTCTGCCTCCTTGCCATGCCCCTCCACACTTAAAAGATGGATAACGACCCATCTGCCGATTAGATTCAAGGAAGTATTGTATTTGTTTGACAGAATAAAGCAGAAATTAAAAACGAAAAGCAAAAGGATGCACTAATCATTTCTTTACACCTTTGCTTGTGGTTTTCGTTACACCAGACCCCTCTCCCTTTGAAGCTTTCAGCTGAGCTGGACTTGAGCCGCCAGCCTTCCCCTTTGAGGCTATTGGCCCCTTTTTGGGTGTTGGGTTTGCCGTTTTCGAAAGGTTGGAAGGAGGGTGATGGTGATATTCACTTTGGAGCACGCTCCCCTCTGGGGCTGCGGATATTATTTCCGGTACACCGAATGGCCAGGGCGGCCTTTCCGTTGTGTTGAACACCAGCTCTCTCAGATTCTGCATCTGCCTCAGCTCCTCCAAGCGGTCTTCGTATTCCCTGGCTTCCTCCTCCCTCCGCTGGGCTGAGTGGGCTCTTAACTCCTCACGGAGGTCGGCAAAGAAGTCTGCCAAATGAAGAGGATATAAGTAAAAAAAGCAGGCCCGCTGTCTCTGGCACTAGATAAATGCCTCCCCAATAATTCCTTTTCCTACTGTCCATTCTCAGCAAATGTGCAGCGGGAATCTATGACTTACCGGGGGATTTTTTTTTAAGGGCAACAGTGTGTGCACTCTTGGCCAAAATAATATGAATTATTTGCAATGACACGGAGTCTGCATCATCCGGAAGACAATTGCTCTTTAGGAGCGGGGAGCTCTGTGTCAGCAGCTGCTGCCTCTAGGAATGGGCACAGAGTGTTCCTTTATGTGGGGATGACTAGTGGAACCCCACAAGTTTTTGACTAGTGTGCGTCACTGGAACGACTGCCCTTTTGGCCTTGGAACCAGCTCAGGCAGGAAGTTGGAGAGTCACTCAAATGTTCTGCACTTAATTATCCCAGGGACATGAGGCAGCTGCTCTGCTGAAGCTATGGAGTGCTGGGTCTGGTCAGTCCATAAATGGGAAGACCCTCTGGAAATGCTACGTAGAGCTCCATAACAGAGAGAAGTGAAATATTGTGTATAAATGTAACGACTGTTAATAAACTGCTTTATAAACTTACACATAGCATCTTATTAGATTTATATACAGACCGCCAAAAATCTCAGGGCTGTTCACAAGATGAAAACATTTTATTTATTCACCAGATAAAAACATTTATTTTCTTGAAACCAACAAAACAATAGCCCCCCCCTTCCATTCCCACAAACACATTTAAAAGGCTGTAGAATATGAAACAGCCAAAGGCCTGGGAAAAGAGGAACGTTTTCGCCTGGTACCTAAAGTTCGGTAATGAATGTGCCAAGCGAGCTTCCCTGGGGAGAGCATTCCACAAACGGGGAGCCACTGCAGAAAAGGCCCATTCTCTCCCCCTCCCCATTTTTTAAAATTAATTTTCACAAAGACAAACAAACAAACAAATCATAATCTTCTTAAAAATTATACTTATTAACATTGTTAAGTGACTTCCTCGCTTCCCCTTGGTTGAATTTCCATGCATATCCATTTAACGGTTTTCCAAATCAGTTCTTATAAAATTTACCTTTAGCTTTAACATCTTAGTCATTTCATTTTGAAATTATACAAATTGATTCATCACTTAACTTATATAAAATCCTAAGCCAATTAGTTATCTGCATGTTATTTCCAACTAAGAAAAGGCCCGTTCTCGTGTTGCCACCCTCCAGACCTCACGTGGAAGAGGCACCACGCAAAGGAGGTCCTTGGTCCCCGATGTTCCTAACATCTAAAACCTGGCCTGGAAACTTTGGGGGTACCTTTTTCTACGCTCAGAGGTATAGCGAGATCAGACCAATCCTCGTCGCTGTCTTCTGAACAGTCCTCCTCCTCTTCTTCAGTTTGGACGGTGTCTTTCTGATTGGGAACAGCCTGCGTATCCAGTTCTTTCAGATGGGGCAGAGCTGCCAACACGCGCTCCCTTGGGAGGGCCAGAAGGAAGCAAGAGTTCTCAAGCTGGGCGTCAAACAAAACAACTCCCATCTTCAAAGCCTATGGCAGCCCCCTGGTGAGGTGGGAACAGTTGCTAAAGGAGAGGCAAACTTCCTAGATGCACCCATTTCTTTGGCACTTGAATGAAGAATCCGACACAAGAGGCCTCCCCCCCCCCAATAGCTGCTAGAAGCCATGCTGTTTTGCTTAGAAAGCCCTGCCACCACTTCCCACATCTCCCATCCATTCTGATCCTTCCCTTGACTTTTTCCTGTGGTACTGTGCATGGAAACCTCCATTCCTGCAGGATGCCCAGGCAACAGGCTGGCAGGTCCCAGAGATGGGGCAGGTATGCCAACACAGGGAACCGGATGGGGGGGGTTGCACTCTTCATCCCTCACCTGTAGGTTCTACATGGGCATGATGCACATGCCTAAAGCTATTGGGTGGGATATTATGCAGGAGCAGGGATCGATTCTTGGTGTTACCTGTAGCTGTTCTCCTTAGTGCATTCGTTTCTTGTCAGGTCAAGGATCACGAGGCTCCGGGGCAGCTCATCTGTACAGAAAGTTAGGCAGAATCGGGGAAGCTGATGGGAATAAATGCAAACTGGATACAGGATTATTCAAGTTTAGCACATGAAGCAAAAAATGGGGGATGAGCTCCTTTTTTTACATGGGGCAGCTGCCTTTCTGGTACAGTCAAACCTTGGTTTTCGAACGGCTTAGTTGACGAACAAATCGGCTCCCGAATGCCAAAAACCCAGAAGTAAGTATTTTGGGTTTTGAACACTTATCAGAAGCCAAACATCTAACGTGGCTTCCGCTTGAGCTCAGGAAGCACCTGCAGCCAATTGGAAGCCGTGCCTTGATTTCTGAAAGTTCTGAGAGTCGAGTGGACTTCTGGAACGGATTAAGTTTGAGAACCAAAGTACCACTGTACTAGCTTCTGAGGCTAAAATAAGGGTGGCAAACAGATCTGATTTGTCAACCCAGTGGGAAATTCACCTGCACAAGAGAATTTGAGTTGGCAGGTACTGGATTTCAAGAGGGGTTTTGTTTTGTTTTTGATACTTATGCACAGAGTACTCCTAGCCCAGTGTTTTATTAGTCAGATTGGCTGGATAAGCAGCCGGCCTGCTTGATTTAGTCTTAATACCCACCAGAGTAGACGGATGGGTGAGTTGTTTTCCACAATGGATCCCAGGAGACTTGATAGTCCACAAGAGAGTGTTGCAAGTGGTGAAGCCGAGTGTGGGGAAAGCTGTACCTGTGTCCAGTGTTTCAATGCGGTTCTGTGAGAGATCCAGAAACTGCAGCTTCGGGAGACTATGGAGGTTCTCCACTTGGCTAATGCGGTTCCCGGCTAATGTCAGAAAACTGCAGTTGCATGAGAACACAATAGGAGGAGGTGGTGAGATCCAGGAGACCAAAGGTGACTCTGCCTTCTAGAGAAGGGGAACTGCACACTGAAGCCGTGATTTACTTCTCACTGGACAGCAGGAAAGAGTTGTGATGCAACTCTCAAAGCCAGATGCAGTCAGCCTCTTTTCCCTTCACTCTCCTTTATTCCCTGCATTGGTTTAAAATTAGCAATGCACTTCTGCTCCTCACAATTAAAACTCCCTGTACCTTTGTTCCTGATGATGGCAGCATAAAAATATTCCCTCCACAACGAAAACCAGCACACCAGAGAGAAGGCCTTTAGCCTATATTCTCTACATGGTGGGAATAATACCTCTTATCTCTCTGGGCAGGTCCATGCCATACATTTAAAGAAAATTTTATGCCCATTTTGGAGAATCCAACTGCTTTAAATGTGCATTGAATGTTATTTAAATGGCAAGGGGAACTGTATTTCCCATGATCCTTTGGGGAAGTCATGTGCTTTAAATGAGATTTGGGTGTACTTTACATGTATGGTGTGGGTCCTCTAACTCATCTTGGTTGGCCGCCTTGTCTCCTCCACTCTGCTCCCGGTTGTCTTCTGCCATGATCCTCCTATGCATCACAGCCTTCCCTGCTCTGTTCATTGAACTACTTCCTATTCCTCCTTCAGGACCCACTACTTGAACAAAATATTGACTCCCCAGTTGGCTTGATTTAGAAGCAGTTGAAATTCTCTAACTTCCACACAAAATGTCCTTTTAGAGGTAGGTAGGGGGAGGTTGGTAGGTAGATAGATAGATACTGTAGATACAGATGTACCTTGGAAGTCGAATGGAATCCATTCCGGAAGTCTGTTCGACTTCCAAAATGTTCGACTTCCAAGGTGCGACTTCTGATTGGCTGCAGGAGCGTTCTCCAGCCAACCAGAAGCCATGGAAGCTGCGCCAGATGTTTGGCTTCTGAAAATCATTCAAAAACCAGAACAATCACTGTATAATGTTGGGAAAACAAGTAATTTTACTTACGTCAAGTTTGGAAAGCAGCTCAAGTTCTCAATTTTCTCTATTTGGTTCTAAAATGAAATTAACATTAATCAGCTTCAGAACCTCTGAATAATGGAGCCCATGAATGCACACACAAGCAATTTTTTCTGCCTGGGTTCTGGGTTCAGTACTGCTTCAACACACAACCAAACTTTTTCACACTGTCCTTGAACTTGGGCCGATACCTTTCTCCTGGGATGCTTCTCCCCTAACTGACCAGGCTTTGACAGGGCTCTATCTTTCCAAGAGAATGTTGTTGTACCATGGCAGTTAACGGTGTGGTGACATATTTTACCTGTTGCAGGTACAGGCTGTGGACCTGCTCTAAACCTTGCAGATTTGCGATGCAGCTAATTCTCTCTCTGTCTAGCCGGAGGGTATGAAGAGAAGCTAAGGCTTGGGATCTAAAAGGAAGAGAAGTTTATCAGAAATCAGCCCCACATCTCCTCTCCTTCCAGCCCCGAATATTATCACCATCTGAATGAAAGCTCAATGCATAAGATACTCACATACTCTCTGGGGACTCTTTCTCCACTGGAATGTTCAGGTTCCTCTGAGCAATGAGGGATTTCGTCATACTCACTCCTCCTATAGGGAGATAACTTCTGTGAGTTAGCTGAAAGCAAAACCACTGGAATTCTCTTTAGATCGCAAAGCCAGGTGATGTTTAGCTAACAATTCACTTGAAGTGCCGTATTAGACCAAGGGTAGTAATAAAAAAATAAGCATGTCTTCTAGAGGCTCAAATCGCTTCCTATTCATTGACTTCATGATGCTCTAGGGTTGCCCTATTTTGAAGAGCAAAAAAGAGAACACATCTGCCGACTTCTACATTTAACTATGGCTCGCTATGACGACTCTACCCATGAAAAAGAGGACGTGTCCTGGAAAAAGAGGACACATGGCAACGCTATGCAGGGATGGGCAGGAACATAATTTGTAGTTCAGTGTTGGGACTAGTCCTTTTTTAGTGGATCACCTGGCACCTGCTGGTTGCTGGGATTCTGCTAAGGAAGCTTATGTAAGTGGACTTTGATGTGATCCATCAAGGCTCTGACTACATTCATTTGGTTTTAAGGAAGAGACTGAGTGCATATTTGTATATTCAGACACTTAACATTGATTAGTTATGCCTGCATATTCTCATTAAAAAGAAGAACTAGAAAAACTGACATCAGCACACCCCTCCATTGGTTGGCAAGACTGAACAACCATCTTCCTTTCTCCTCTGAACAGAGGAACGTTGCAAGACCTGTTCTCTGAGCAAATGCGGCAGTGGTTGGTGTAGGTTGACATGTCTCCACCATTCTGTAGTCCTGTCTTAGCCATTTTGTGCTATCTCATGCTCCCATGGCAGCCATATTGTGACTGGCGCCCATGACGCTTTCTTAAAATTCCAAATGTTCCCACTGTCTCAAAAAGAACTAAGCTTCCACAGCCGCTGCCCATCATGAACCATGATTTGCAAGATTGGCAGCAACAGCAGCAGATACATTCCATGCCTGAGAAATTCTTAGTCTCTTGTTAATTATGCCATTTTAAATGTGCATTTTATATTTTACTTTCTTTAGCAATGTTTTCTTTTGAAATATTATTATTAATTTATTTGTTAGCTTTGCTGTGTTAAATGTGCATTTTGCACTTGATCTCCTTTGTAATGTTTTCTTTTGAAATCTTCAAAACTACATTTTCGTTTCCCATTACAGTAATTGCATTGCTTCAAATGTATGCTTTATATTTGACTTTCTTCTGTACTGTGGATTGTTTTATTTGACATTTTAATGTAGATTGTAAACCGCTCTGAGGTTTTTCCCCCTTAAAAATATAAAGTGGGATAGAAATTAATAATAATAATAGCCCTATAATACAATGCACAGTCAGTCAAAAGGATTCTAATTTTCAAGTTCACCTAGTTTTGTGCATTAGCTCTTACATGCAAACTTGTTTAATATTTATAATGGAAAACAAATAAGATCTAACAAATTATTAGAGCAATTGGCACAGGAGAGTACCTGGAGCGCCCATAAGGGGAAGTTTTCCACCTGCTGAATTTCTCCTCCTCCCCAAAAGCCAATCCTACACAGATATAGCTGTGGGTGTCTATGTAGAATTCATCATGCGAAAGGCTGGACTGGATGAATGCCAGGCCGGGAATGAAGACTGCCGGAAGAAATATCAACAACCTCAGATATGCAGATGACACAACTTTGATGGTAGAAAGTAAGGAGGAATTAAAAAACCTCTTAATGAGGATGAAAGAGGAGAGAGCAAAATATGGTGTGAAGCTCAACATCAAAAAAACCAAGATCATGGCCACTGGTCCCATAACCTCCTGGCAAATAGAAGGGGAAGAAATGGAGACAGTGAGAGATTTTACTTTCTTGCACTCCATGATCACTGCAGATGGTGACAGCAGTCACGAAATTAAAAGACGCCGACTTCTTGGGAGAAAAGCGATGACAAACCTAGACAGCATCTTAAAAAGCAGATACATCACCTTGCTAACAAAGGTCCGTATAGTTAAAGCTATGGTTTTCCCAGTAGTGATGTATGGAAGTGAGAGCTGGACCATAAAGAAGGCTGATCGCCGAAGAATTGATGCTTTTGAATTATGGTGCTGGAGGAGACTCTTGAGAGTCCCATGGACTGCAAGAAGACCAAACCTCTCCATTCTGAAGGAAATCAGCCCTGAGTGCTCACTGGAAGGACAGATCCTGAAGCTGAAGCTCCAATACTTTGGCTACCTCATGAGAAGAGAAGACTCCCTGGAAAAGACTCTGATGTTGGGAAAGATGGAGGGCACAAGGAGAAGGGGACGACAGAGGATGAGATGGTTGGACAGTGTTCTTGAAGCTACCAGCATGAGTTTGTCCAAACTGCGGGAGGCAGTGGAAGACAGGAGTGACTGGCGTGCTCTGGTCCATGGGGTCACAAAGAGCCAGACACGACTAAACGACTAAAGAACAAAATGTACCTGTACATATAAGACACAGAGAACCAGCCCCACTTAGGGGTTAAGGCACCTTCAGGCACGATTACTCACCTCCTGACATCATTGATGGAAAGGGTCACCAGCCGGGATACCTTGACCACACCACTCCCAGCAATGCAACAGGCCTATCTATGCTGAGTGTGAGGCACCCTGGGAATTTGTGGTGCTGTGAGGCGGAGAGGAAGGGAACCTGAAGCAGCTACAGTTTGGAAATCACCATAGCAACCGTTCGGAACTAGTGTCAAGGTCGTCCTGGCAACAAGCCCTGGGAGCGGGGAGGGGAGAAACGGCCTTGGCAGCAGGAGCAGCAGCTTGGAGGTTGCCTAGCAACGGGTGGGAAGTCGCGGGATCTCCTCAGCAACAGGCAGAGAGGGTGCTGTGGAATTCCCTTTAGGAAGGCGTGGAAGGCTTCCGTGGTCTCCCCTTGAAAGTGGCCGTGCGGCAACTGCGGGAGGGGAGAGAGGAGGGTGATTTTTGGGGGTGGCGCGGTGCCCTTTCGGGCAAGAGCTTGCAGCAGGATTCTGCCTAGCAAGGAAAGTGCATGCATTGGGGTATGTTTCTCCTGAGGGATGTTAGGCGGCTTGCGGGGCATCCTTTGCAAAGCCTCAAAGGCTTGAGAAGGGGGTCTTCCGAGTTGCACCTTGAGGAGAGGGGGCACCCCAGTCCGAAGGACGCCTTAAGCACACCTGGAGTGGGGGGTCTTGAGGAAGGGTCTCAGCTGTAGCGAGAGACGGGGCGGGGGTCTCGGTGAGATTTTATTTTCTTTAGAAGCAACAGCTTGGCGCGTTTAGGGGGGTTGATGGAGGAGGTCGTGAAGTTTTCCCTTAGCAACAACAAGCGAGGGCTGCTGGGAAACAAAAACATCCGCCTTTAGCTTCTATGAAACCATTGTGGAGCAGAAGGAGAGCGCGCAACCCGTTGCTAATAGCCAGGAGGTTTCTTTTTATTTGTCAGGCTTCATAAGGGGGAAAAATAGGTTCCTTCTCCTTTAAACCTCCCCACCGCCCACCCAAGGAGGAGCTATGCTTCCCATCCCATAATGCTCGGCTTCTGTTCGCCGCACACCCCTCAAGATGGCTGCTGTTACTCGCTGGTGCAAAAGGTTTTGCAAAACCGGTAAGGGCAAGATCGATGTTGGAGAAGTTTTGTTCTCCTGCAGTTACTGGTTGCTAATAACTGCCCCTTTTACGCGTTGCATTTTCTCCCCTTCAGCCTCGTGGGGATTCCGTGCCCTACATCTCGCCCTGTTGAAATCCAGAATCTTAATAATTTTCTTCCCATACCCACCATCCGAGATCCAGCATTTGACATTTCTGGGGTGGTCTTTTTTTTCTTAATTGGACAGACACTGTGGCGTGTCCAGTCATTCATTTCAAGGCTAATAAGGTGTTGCAGAACTAAAGGCAGCTGCATCGATTCTTTAAACCCGTGCAGCGCTCGAAGGACTCTTGTGGGGAGAGCTAGGCTCAAAGTTCCCATAAATTCGGGTTTCGACCCCAACCCAGCCTGGCCTTTCCACAAATGTGTGATCGAATTTGTTGTGGCAAGGGAAATTACCCAGTCTGGCACTGAAGGGGAAGTGAAGTTGGTGGGCATGCAGAGTGCGCTATCATAGAATTATGGGGTCCTCTAGTCCAACTCCCTGCAAAGCAGGAATCTTTGGCAGAAAATAAATTTAGTTCGGTCTTTTAAAATGCATCATCTGTCATTTGTCATTCTTGTGAAATGTATTATTGGCCATTGGAATGTTTGTTGACTATGGTAACAATCTGGAGAAAATCTGCCCGTATTGGGTTTCCTACTGAGGCACCCAAAATGCAAACTGTCTATAAAAAATATGAATGGGAGGCAGTCCTAAATTCTTTGTGCCTCTGATGCCATAACAGCAAAAATAATGTTCCTTACCACTTTGTTCCTTGCTATAAATTATATACTCAGAATTTACATTTACCGTATTTTTCCATGTATAAGACGAGCTTTTTTGACCGAAAAATGAGGTTCAAAATTTAGGGTCGTCTTATATATGGGTAGTGCTGGGGTGGGGACGACGGGCCAATCGCCACTTAAAATCTCGGGCTTCATTCCGGTGGTTGAGCGATTTTCGGCATTGGCTACTTGATTGTTGGGGAGGAATGCCGAAAATCGCTCACCCGCCGGAACGCAGCACACAACCGTTCGCATCTCAGAAACCACCTATCAGCTGCCTGATCGCCACCAGCGGCCACCAATCATACTCGCACTTGCTGCGACAAGGGCAGCTGTCTGTTGGCTGCTGCAGCAGCAATCGAGAGGGCTAATGGCGGTGATCGGGCAGCTGATAGGTGGTTTCTGAAACGCAAGCAGTTGTGTGTTGTGTTCTGGCAGGTGAGTGAATTTTGGCATTCCTCCCCAAATAACCCCCCCCCCACAAAAGCTCAGTCTCCCCTATTTTCTAATACAGTCATACCTCGGGATGAATACGCTTCGGGTTAGGCAAATTCGGGTTGCGCTCCGCGGCAACCTGGAAGTAATGGAGCGTGTTACTTCCGGGTTTCACCCCGTGCGCATGCGCAGACCGTCAAAATGATGTCACACACATGCGCAGAAGCGCCGAAACGTGACACGCGCAGACACGGGTTACGTTCGCTTCAGGATGCGAACGGGGCTCCGGAATGGATCCCGTTCGCGTCCCGAGGTACCACTGTATAGAGGTCGTCTTATACATGGGGGCATCTTATATACGGAAAAGTACGGTACATTAGGAATAGACTGTACTGTTATCCCTCCAGGCCATTAACATTTGGTAAACCCCCCACTCAAGCTGTGCTAAGAATTCCTGTGTGCAGACACATTCAAAGTTGTGCTTTTGAACCTGTTTCAGCTCATCTCTGACGCTGAGTTACCAGAGCTGCATGCAATACTTTAACTATAGGCACACTATAAATATGTAGAACAGCATTCGGATGCTTCTTTGTGCCTTTAATTTTTCCGCCTTCTGCTGTAATCTGTAATTTAGCTGGCTTGCATGAGTCACAAAGCTTTCTACTCTGTAAGTGTCTATTAATGTTGCTGCCTGTTTCTGGAGCACTAGTTTGGAATGTGTGGATTAGTATGTGGAGTGGCAACACCTGAGGAAGTGAACACTAGGATTCTATGCTTCCCCTTAGCACAGTTTTTTATGGTTGGAAAGGATGGGATTACACAGTATGAGAGGCCGCAGAATGTCCTACATTTGGGGGTTGTGTCTTGGGGGGCCTAGTCTTTCTGATTGTTCTGCTTTTCCATTGCTCCAGACTGGCTGCCCACCCTTCAGCTTATTCGCCATGGCTCCAAAGCCGTCACTCGCCACTGGAGACCTATGCATTTTGTGCGTCAGAAGCTGATGGAGGTGACAAAATACATCCCACCAAAGCCTTTGATCCCAGAGAGGTGCATCAAACCCCAAGTGAAACAAGTTGAAGAGGTAACAACACAACACACCCTTCTGCGCTGATTGTTACTGTCTAAACTATGGTGCAGATCCCTCAAAATCATAGAGTAGGCTCTCCACCCTTCTTTATCCATGTTTTTGGCAATTGCAGCAGGGCTGGTATGAACTCTGAATGCAAATGATGTCTGATGTTCTGCTCTTTTCCTGACCTTTCACTGTATTCCTTTCAGTGCCTGCTGAAGACATTATTATATAGACAAGCCTATCCCACCTACACTGACATTTAGAAAGTTTCAGGCAATTTTATTTGTTTTAGTCTACTTTGCTGTGGTTTTAATGTTCTGTATGTTTTAAGTTATGGTTTTAAATTTTTGGTGATAATTTTATTGCTTTATCTGTAAACTGCTTTGAGGTTTTTCAACAATATAGCTCTGTGTGTGTGTGTGTGTGTGTGTGTGTGTGTGCGCGCGCGCGCGCGCGCGCATGCACACACACATATATACAGTGGTACCTCAGAAGTCCATTTGACTTCCAAAACGTTCAGAAACCAAGGTGCGGCTTCCGATTGGCTGCAGGAAGCTCCTGCAGCCAGTTAGAAGCTGCGGAAGTCACATTGAACATTTGGGTTCCAAAGAACATTCGCAAACTGAATGCTCACTTCCAGGTTTGTAGCATTTGGGAGATCCAAGGTACGAGTGTGTGTGTGTGTGTGCGTGCGTGCGCGCACACACACACACACACACACACCTTTTGAGGCAGAATCATTGGCAAGCCTTGTCACTTTGGCTCTTAACTGTTTGCCCCAAGTGAAGGATTGGAGGTACACAAAACAGATCACTGAATTTTTGTTCTGGAAAATGAAGTCCTTGAAAAAGGACTCATTTGCAGAGAATCCTCTTTAAGGGCTTGAATTGAAGGAACTACTTAGAGTAATGCAAAGGTGTCTTATTACCTAATGGAATTCACTCTCCTATGACAAACAACTTTTGAAACTTTCCTCATTGCTATGTGATACAGGGAAGGCTGCTCATCACTCTAAAGTTGGTTTCCGTAACTCACAAATATATATTTTATAAGAGTTTGCAGTATAGAAGTAAATAAATAATAATGAGTGATAATCACTATAGCAGGTTTTGCACATGTTGCCTGTTGAGCCTGGATATAGCTCAGTTGGTTAAGAGTGTAGTGCTGATAACACCAAGGTTGCAGGTTCGATCCCCATCTGGGGCAGCTTCATATGCCTGCATTGCAGGGGGTTGGACTAGATGATCCTTAGGGTCCCTTCCAACTCTGTGATTCTTTGAAGTCACAGGGATAAACCTTCATAGCACGAAAACTTTCTAACGGAGTTCAGGCTTCAATGAAAACATTTCATTTGGTTTTAATGCTTCACTAGGTATGCACAGAGCATGGAAATGCCCTGTTTCCTGGGCAGGGTAAGTAGATCTAAATCAGTTGCTTAAATCATCGGGAACACAATGTCAATTTAAACCACTGATTTAAATCAAGTTTAATCTAATTCATTTGTTTTCTGAACAGGCATGTATACTGCTTGGTATTTGCAACTGAACAGAACCTTTATGTTACCTACAGAGATAACTCAAAACTTCTGCACTCTGCCTGCCTTTCACAGCACAGGATTTACATCTGTGTAGCTTTTGACATCTTTGTGGCTTTTCAGTGTGGTGTAGTGCTTAAGAGTGGTGGACTCGTAATCTGGTGAACTGGGTTCAATTCCCCGCTCCTCCA